CATTACTTCAGAAGATAAGCTAGCCATGCAGTGCTGGGAAGCAATTGTTTAAACGGCGCTACAATCCTGCTTCGCTCAACAGACACTTACCAGATATTGTCACCAAGACATTCAGGCCTTCAAGGACATCCATTTGTTGAAATCGTCTTCGGTTGATCAGAGGATATACCTTCCCTTGGCCACTTCTGTCCAGCAGCATCAGGCCACTCTCTGTACCCACTAACAAATTCACTCCTGTTTCAAGGAGACAGAAAGGCCAAATTTATACTGCATGTGGTATGGGAAGGATAATACCACTTGTCTGGCAAAAAGCAGTTTCCTTAGCTCACCCATAAAAAGAAATAAGAACAGTCACAGGCTAAAATAACCAAACTGCAACAAATCACCATGGGGAAGTGATGGTGAAATATTTACCTGAACACAAAAAAGGATGTAAGAGAAAAAGCGAGCGAGCCTCATGCCCAATTTCCTTCACAACCCCACCAGTTTCCAGGCTCCTCGTTGCCCCCGGAACATTCCACACTGTCTCCTTGGTGTTACATCTCATTTGCCATGTCAGACACCTGAACAAACCTTCGTCTGACATGACCTCTTGGTCACTTTGTACTTCCTTTATCTGCCATTATTTTCACTGGCAAACTTCCAGAATGGCTATTTATACCCCTTGAATCCTCAACGGTTTATGATTGATCTGGCTTCTACCACCCAGTTTAAGGTTTTCTTAAAGACTATTCCCCCATTATCCTCAAGAAAAAAACAACTGCATTAATTCTCTGTCCCTCAGTTTCTTAAGAACATAAAAACACCGTGACTTCCCAGTGGACTCATCCTGGCTCTCTGTGCTGAGCATCTTCCCACTCTCTCAGCTGCGTCCAGTCTCCTTCCCTGTCTCCAAAAGCCTTCTCTGCTTTTTAAGCACTGACGTCCTCTTGCTGTCTGCCTGCTGGAGTAGCACCTCCAAACCATTAACTCCTAATTCCACACCCACCCTCCCAGTTTTACTTGTACATTTCTGCTGAAATGAACTTCTCGCCCTTTGCCACTTCTGTAAAGAGAACCACCTTCTCCCACAAGTGCTCCATAAAGCCAGCCAAACTGGCCACAAAAAACAGAGAAGATCCTCTTCCTTTCCCTTTCCTGTGCTCTCACCCAAAGTCAGGCACTGGACACCCTACAATCGATCGATAGAGACCTTAACTGAGGTCCCTGCCCCTTCTCATGGCTGCACATCAAAATAATCCTAGTTTTCCCACAGTCCTGAGTCCTGCAGTATCCTCAAAGGTACATACTCTCTACAGGAGAGGGTATAAGAGCCCCGATCTGCCATTCAAACCCTTTGCCCCTTGAGCCAAGGGAGAATTTATCTCCCTCTTTATCCCACACTTATTTCCCCAAATGCACTTGCTTCCTTGGTCTAAACCAACTTTGTAACACATAGCAGAGATCACCCTATATTATTAGAGGACTGGAACAGATGTCTACATTCCCTAAACTGGGTAACAAACTGACTGAGACAAGGAATGAAATATCTGTGCTTTCACAAAGTAACTGCTCAATCAGTATTTTCAGGTAGATAGAATGACAAGGAACAAGAGCAGGAATTTCTTGAACCACGCAATCCATGTTTTATTTCACATACACACATTATTGCCAGAAAATTTCAAATGAACAATTGTGAAGGCAACAAGAAAACCTCCCAGCACTCTCTCGGCCCTGGGCCTGTTCCGCAATGAGCGGTGAAACCCCAACACTTGGAGAGTAGTGTCCACCCAAGCAAGCCATGTGAGGAAACTGGAAGCATCTGCTGGGGTCCTGGGGGAAAGCGGAGGACCTGGCATTTACATATGTCCTTACTATCACTGCTATTGAAACTCAAATCAGAACTTTAGCAGCAAACAGAGCACCAGACACATGTGGATGACAGCTACAAACTATGCCGAAGCACTGTGGGCTCTAAACGAACATAGCGCATCCCTGGAACTCTGAAAAACTCTAAAATGTGTAAAGACAGTTTCTGATAATAATGTGACCTGATAAAGTCTCCCCATTAAAAATCTATTAGGCATACATTGCAGGTTTCATCCCGCCCCTGCAGAAACGGTGCGTTTTCCATAGCACACAGCCCAACGTACACCTCCACCAAATCAGAGGTGCCTTCTCTCTAGTACTATTATTTTCATAAGACAGTTTGTTACAGCCTGAAATACTACAAAATAGCTTCAGAAAATTTGGGGAAGCCTCTGATATTTTGAAAAAAAGGGAAAAACCTGAGTATTCACTACCCCTCTAGAATGATCCTTAAAAGTAATCAAAATTCTCAAAAAAAAAACAATCATATGTACAACATAAGGAAAAAAGCTTACAAACGCATAAGGCTTCTTCTATTATCTACAATTAAGGTTTTGGAAAGTACATTCTAGACCAGCTCTGTCCAACAGAACTTTCTATTGTGATATCCAATATGTCAGCCAATGGTCATATGTGGCTACTGCACACTTGAAATGTGGCTAGTGCAACTGGGGAACAGAACTTCCTATGCTAATTCATCTAAATTTCAACAGCCACATAAGGCTAGTCGCCACCATAACAGCCAGTGTAGCTATGGATGATACTGATATTTTATTAATCAGGTAACATGACGGCTTTTAATTAAAGCTCATGCATTACACTTTAAACGGCTTACAACAAGCCATTATGTTTTTATAAAAAAGTTATTTAATAGAAATATACCCATGAGATAATGACTTAAAAAAAAACCCGATGTGTAATTAAAAACAGATTTATTACCAAGATAAGAGCAGTGAATGCTTATGCAATGCTTGCTCATTTTCACAGTTTTACATTTGAGGTTGCTACTTCATCGTGACCACCTCCCTACGAATGCAGAATTTATTTGGTCATTACTTGTGGTGTTTTCCAGACCTATGTGAGGTATTTCTAAATAGCTTCAAAGTTCCTTAATTTACCCACAAAAACAAATTATTAGAACAGTCAAAGGTTAAAGTAATAAACTGCAACAAATCACCACTGGAAAGTGATGGTGAAATAGCTACCTAAATATGAAAAAGCACATAAGGGGGAAAAGCTAGAGAGCGAGCCCATCCCCCAATTTCAGCAGCTTAAACGTTAACTGATAAGCTGCTACCAGACACAGAGTCCATTTGAAAGGTTTCATTTCATATAATATTTCAATATTTTCCTAGTCAATCTTCAGTATCAAGTAGATAAAAAAAAAATCTATGTCAAGAATCTGGTAATAACTACTCAAAGCATGAGCGTCATGAAATCTTTCTATTATTTGTGGTTTCCAAAAATAAATAGCATTCAAATATCAATCAAGATTTTACAGTGAGAAAGAATAAAAGATAAAGCTGACAAAATCTTTTCAAATACACAAAAATTGCAGATATTCTGGCACTTACAGCCTACCTTCTAATTCTCCATCACGTAGTTCCAAGAACTGTGTAATTTTGTAAAGTACTGAGTGCTAGCAGTCAAAGGAATATAGACAGTCACTGGAAAATAACAACCTTGGAAATTATAGGCCTGCAAAAAAGATTAAGTTGCATGCTGCAATAATTTTTTTATAAATACACTTTTTAAACCTTCCAACTGTTAGATATAATTAAACTTTATAATGCTGATCATTCAAAGGTAAGCTGTACTGGGAACTGCAACTGTACTCACAGAGATCTGGTGTAGGCTAATGGGGAAAATGGCTAAGAGCTGTGGAACATGGGGGATTTAAAATTTCCTTTAAATTCTATGATAAACTATATTACAGGCAAAGCATTGAAATTAACTGCAGACAATTATGAACATTAGCATAGAAAAAATCATATTCAAAAGATGTGTTAAAACAATCCTAGCTGCAAACATAAGAAAACTGCCTTATTAAAAAACAAAATAAATATGCAGCAATCTATAAAACAAAAGTTACATGAGATGATTAAAAAAGAATGCTTGCTGCAAGCATTTTCTAGGAAGGTATACAAAAAACATATGTATCTAACACTGGTAGTAGAATGTCAGTGTGTTGATTTTATCATTTCAAAATGACTCTGAGTTTCTCCCCTTGTCGGTCAACATTTCTCACAATACATGCTTTAACTTTCCTGGATTTAAGTCTTTAGGAGGCTTATTTTTAACCTAACAGGTAACTCATGACAGCTATCACAAGCAGTTTAGGGAAAGCCACCCCTTGACGTGTCTGCAGACAACAAGCAACACAACTCTTCTTCTAACAGTAACAAATAGAAAGTTCCACTTCATTTTTTAAAAATTTTATTTATTTATTTATCTATCTATCTATCTATTTATTTATTTATTTATTTATTTTTTAGGCGAGGCAACCCTTGGTTGACCTCACAGATTGCAAAGACCTTGTCAGCTTACAATCCCTCATTTTTTAATTTTTTTTATGCCTACAACACCTGATCTTCCTAAGTGGTCTCCCATCCAAGTATTAACCAGGCCCGACCCTGCTTAGCTTCCGAGATCAGACGGGATCGGGATTATTTAAGATAGCATAGCTGTAGACTCCACTTCATTTTTAATAATGCAAGTTCAAGATACTCTATTTTTCCGAGGTCTTAAACAAGTTAATTAGGAAAAAGAAGAATTTTTGTTAAAAATATTAGTTAATGGCAAACAGAAGGGGGCCCAGCACTTGGCAGGACATCAGAAAAATATAAGTTTAAGACTACTAAGAGTGTAAATACTCTGGATAAAAATTACTTCAATTTCTAAAAAATCGATATAATTAACACTACTTCCACACTGAAGAGAATATAGTTTTGATGACATAAACACTTCCATAACAGGCCTTTAATATGAATGAAACGATGGAACTCAGGTCTCTGAAATGGTCACGGTTGACATTTACAGAGCAGTAGCAGCAGCAGTGCACGATGACAGTGCTGTGCCCGCTGCTTTCACCTGCTCCTAATTATCCCAATGGCTACTGTTACCTTTACCTAGAGGATTAGTAGAGAAAAGGCCTTATGATCATGAGAGGATTTAAAATACTCAGCAGTGACAGAGACAGAAATCCAGATCTGAAGGAATGAAAGAGAACGCAGGTGTGTCTGCAATGGGTGGGGACAACCTTGCAAGCCCTTGGGAGCCAGCCTGAGCAGGAGCTTCCAAGGGCCCAGAGGGAGGTCAGCAGACAGATAAAATCTAGAGGGCAGATGATGAACATCTTGAGGCTCATGTCGCCTCACTGTTTCGGGGAGGGGTGGACCTGAGTTGGGCTGAGGTGGGCATGGGGGAGGAGGGCTGGCTCAGTCCCTGTGGGGAAGGTGAAGGCCTTTGAGGACACTCCAGAAATACACATGCTGAGGAGGGCGGCAGTGGACTCAAACAAAGGAGAGCACCGTGCGTCTCCTACCCATCTGCACTGCAACGTCAAGGAAGTAAGAGACTTCCGAGCGGAAGTAGGGTCTCTGTTAAAAACAGCCAATTTGAGGTTCAGGGAGCATAACTAAAACAAAGTGTGGGGCTGGAAGACAAAGTGAGGCCAAGAGCAGGACATCTGTGGGAGTGAAGAAGGTGAGAGGCCGGGGGTGACAGAAAGCAAGTTTTAGAAAGTGAAATGGCAGAGTCCCATGTGTGGCAGACTCTCTACGAGTATCCTCTTGTGCTGTCTTAGGTTTTGAAGATGCTTCCCGAACACTGCAGGTATTCCACAGGTAAAGTCAGCGCAATGGTCCCCAAACTTGGCCAGTGACAGATTGCTTTTAAAAGCCTCATTTACATGTTAGGCCCAAGTTACAAAAAGCAAACAAAAAAAAAAAGTTAAACTGAAACATTTAAAGAAAAGCAATTCGACAAATTTCTTCAGTCTCCCGATAAACATGGACTGAACCAAATGCATCTCTCATCTTTTACTTTTCTTCTTTACGTGAAGGAATGGAGATGTCATGTTTTCCAATAAAGAATGGCCGAACCAGTGCCAGCCCACATATGTACCTGCTCTGATCCTACAGAAGACACAGGGGTGGCCCATCACAGATGTCTGCCATCTCATCCATCAACAGCTTTTCAAAACATCTCCAAACTATCCAAAACAGTACTTCTCTAAAAGACCAGTCCCCTGTTCGGAATAAAAATAAAAGGGCAGAGTAGCAATAAGATACCTACCCCATAAGGCAGCACACAGAATCTCGGAGTTAAATCTCTTCTTGTATTTACGGATCTCTGGGGTGTCACTGTGAGGCCGCGTGTTGGTGGGGTTCACGTTGACCACCGAGCCTTTCCGGGTGGGGTCCTGCCTTACAGCTTCTGGTCTCATTCCGTCACAGGAAAATCCCACTACAACGAAGTACACACAGCGTTATTTCCTATAGATGCCAACCTGGCGCCTACCCCCGCCACACATACACACTATACTTCGAGGACATATTCATGTCATAACTGACTTTTGTTGAAAAAATGATATAGGAAATGTACATGGAAAAAAGGACCTTGACTATGCAGCTCATTGCAAATAAGGCAGTGCAAGCGGGATGGGCGCGTGTGCATCCGATGTCTGCACCTGCAACCACTGCCATGCCACGCTTAAGCCACCAGAAAGAGCGACGCCAAGTGACGGGTCCTGTCTGTCAGCTGCTTTCCTGTCGCCGCTTCACTTACCCACGGAAGTCACTGTGGTCCCGCTAGATGGAGAGATCTGTAGTAACCTGGGGTCTATAAAAGGTGTGAAGGAGGAGCAGGATTTGTGTTTCTGGAGTGTGCTACTAGCGGACTGAGTCTGCAATGCAAATTTCAATTTCATTAATACAGATGGCATCAGAACGGTGAACATTACAGCATTACAACCCACTTCTGTGCTATACTGTCCGCAACACAAAGCCCTCACATTCCTGCATTGGCCCCCAAATGCTTAAGAGCACCTCTGTGTGTGCACAGCACACCCCAGCAACAGACTGTTTCACCTGGACCCACCGAGAGAGCTGCTTCTCTCCTTCAGAAATATTGCCCACCTAGGAGAAGAATGCTGCATGCTACCAATAAAATCTACGCTTCACGCTTCTAGTTTTTTTTTTTTTTTAAGTAAATAATTATAATGAAAACTTCTAAAGGAGGTTTGAAATATCTTGACCTCAATTCATCAACTCTGAATTTACTCTCCTGCCCCCAAAAGTCCAATTAATCTATGTTGGAATATTGGCAAATCTCAATTTTATATTATTTGTTTTAAAGTGAGCCTCTTGCCAGAACGCTACAGAAGCTTTGGCTGCCGGCATTTTAGATGCTAGATGCGGCATCATTAAACCCACATCAAACAGGCTCATCAGTGAAAGGTGCAAACGACAGAGTAAGGCGAATTCTTTTGCTCTTTTAGGAGCACCACTGTTTTGGTTAACAATGTAACTTAAGACAAAAAAAAAAAAAAAACACAAAGAAAGTGAAACAAATTGTTAAGTGGAAATGTAATGATAATTAAAAACAAAACAAACAGAAAAATAAACTTGCCAGTTTAGTGAGTTAAGGGTTATAGTAAATACTGTATATTAGAGCAAAATGGAGCCAAGTTTAAATGTAAATGTAAGGAAGAATGTGAGTGCAGGTGGGATTCATCACTGGAAGAAAGAGAACATGTCTGCTCAAGTGCTTTCGTCCTGTACCGTTTCTCCTACCATGGGCAGCTGAAGTCACCATGTCCTATGGCCTATGCCCTTACTAGGCTCCCAGGCCTTCTGCTCCCAGCTGACATGGCTGCCTGCTGGCAGGCTTCCTGCCCTTATCCCACAATCAGCAGCCAGTCCAGCCGATGGACAATCTGAAGCCAAGCCTGCCTTAGAAGCAAACCACTTGTCCCTGCTCCTCAGAGGGAGAGGATTATTCTGATTCTTTCTAACAAGGAAACCAAAATAGGAGCAGGCAGCAGGCTGGCAATTAAACATTTACATCGACAAGACTGGCTTAAAGCTGCGTGCCACTTTTAACCTCCTTCAACAGTTAGACAAATGCATTTAAACCAAACCTCCCATGAAATCAAACCACTGGTTTTATTCAGCACAGGGTGCTCAAGGTGCACTCTGTCACTGCTGG